TGTGAGAGTCTAGAAAGGAAGGATTTCCTCATTTTTGGCTATATGACCCGTAGGATCCTCTCTGTTACACAAGATAGAGTGGAATCCAATCCCAAGGGGTTTAGGAACAATTATTCCTCGAAACAGCAAACATCTGGCAATGCCTCATTTCACTACTCTGCACTTTACTGGCCAGGCAGTGAAATGCCTCAGCAAAGACTTTGCAAGGGGGAGATAACACTCTGTGAGGGTAAATATGGCCATTTCTCCTCCACCTGACTTCACTGACAAGGTCACACAATTATATCTTTGTTACTGTCCAGAGAGCTCCACGGTTGGTGCTGCAGAAAACCTTGTTGCTGACATCACTGGGGTTTTATAGTGGAGAGTAACGCATGCTTATTTACGTACTGACCTGTCCACATGCGTTTGGCTTATGTGTACGTGTGTTCTCTCTCCAGCTGAAATACGTTCCTAATACCTAAATCCATTGTCCCCTCACTGCCCCCAATACAGGGAACTCAGCGCCTGTTGCCTCACGTTGCTTGACAACCTAGGAATGGACTTTTCTTCTAAGTATCTTTTAAGAATGCATCTAGGTAGCTCCTGTTCCTCATTAAGTTAGACAATTTTTCTAGAGAGATAAAAACTGCATGTATGAAACAGGGCCTGTACTTGAGGTGCTAAATTAAGGGGGGCACGAGAGGTACATGGTTGAAACAAGATTGATCATCTCTGTTTTCTCTAGAGAAATTTTATCTATTTCTAAATTTTCTAATTATCTTGATTCTAAGGTTTTAGTTTCTAGGTTTATTAATATTAGAAACAAATTCTGTGCTTCCTCTTTTTCTTGGAAATCTTCTAGATTCTATCAGGCAATATCCTCCTCATCCCTAAGACCTCCTTCAACCTGAGTAACTAGACTCAAACAGGACATCCCAAATTGGGCTTTCCTTAGGAGGGGACAAGGTGGTTCTGCCAACTCTGTTCCACTTCTGTTATTTGGAGTTCTTGGTTCTTGGTTGTATGCAGGAAGCTGGGTGGTTCTGATGTGTAAAACCGTGAGCCTTGACAGTCAGGAGCCAGGAAAGAGATGGGTGCCCCTGAGCAGAGCACATGGCAGTAAAGGCCCCCAGGACTTCCCAAGGTTAAACGGGGGACTAGAAGTGACAATGGCCTTGTGACATATGCCTGAGTTCTTTTATAAAGATCCAGCATAGATTTTCCTCAACATAGCATTTCTCTCCGTTCTGGAGAGAAAGGAATTACACTGATTGATTGGTTTTTAAGTTCCTCTTTAGGATGAAGGAAGATGGAAGAGTTGTCTATGAATTTTTATTATAACAAGAGTCATTTATTTTTAAAACAGAAAAATCAAGCATTAGCTTTGAATTAAAAAAAAATACCCAAGATTATCCATTAAAAACATTAACCTGAGGGTGCCTGGGTGGCTCAGTTGGTTGGGCGGCTGCCTTCAGCTCAGGTCATGATCCTGGAGTCCCGGGATCAAGTCCCGCATCCGGCTCCCAGCTCCACGGGGAGTCTGCTTCTCCCTCTGACCTTCTCCTCGCTCATGCTCTTGCTGTCTCTCTCTCAAAAAAATAAATAAAATATTTAAAAAAATTAACCTGTACTGTACATGACTTTGAACCAGGAATAACATGATGAATGAAGAGATTGTCTGGGCCCAATTATGAGAGGTTTTTGGATGAAGCTTAGGATCATGCAGTAGGTAAAGTAATAAGTGACAAGTCTACTCTATTACCTCCCAGGATCCAACTCAGCACAGAAAAGATTACATCAAGATGATGGCAGAGTCAACCATTTGACCCCCATAGTATAAAAAGAAATGATGGTTGGTGTGCTTACTACGATTTCTTATAAACAAAGACAGGAAACAACATGTGTTGGAGAGGATGTGGAGAAAGGGGAACCCTCTTACACTGTTGGTGGGAATGCAAGTTGGTGCAGCCCACTTTGGAGAACGGTGTGGAGATTCCTCAAGAAATTAAAAATAGAGCTTCCCTATGACCCTGCAATTGCACTACTGAGTATTTACCCCAAAGATACAGCTGTAGTGAAAAGAAGGGCCATCTGTACCCCAATGTTTATAGCAGCAATGGCCATGGTCGCCAAACTGTGGAAAGAACCGAGATGCCCTTCAACGGACGAATGGATAAGGAAGATGTGGTCCATATACACTATGGAATATTATGCCTCCATCAGAAAGGATGAATACCCAACTTTTGTAGCAACATGGACGGGACTGGAGGAGATTATACTGAGTGAAATAAGTCAAGCAGAGAGAGTCAATTATCATATGGTTTCACTTATTTGTGGAGCATAACAAATAGCATGGAGGACAAGGGGAGATGGAGAGGAGAAGGGAGTTGAGGGAAATTGGAAGTGGAGGTGAACCATGAGACACTATGGACTCTGAAAAACAATCTGAGGGTTTTGAAGGGGTGGGGGGTGGGAGGTTGGGGGAGCCAGGTGGGGGTATTAAGGAGGGCACGTATTGCATGGAGCACTGGGTGTGGTGCAAAAACAATGAATTCTGTTATGCTTAAAAGAAATTTTTAAAAAATTTAAAAAAAAAAACATTACTAGTGGTAAAAAAATCAGGCAGGATCCACATAGACCTCTTTGCCAGTTTAAACGGAGATGGTGGCCTTGGGCTGGCCATGTGGAGACACTGTCAAGATCTAGACTTCCCAACTTTGACCCCCGCAGTGTTACTACTCTACACAATGTGGTTGCAAGAGTAAAGGAAAAAGAAAATTCGCCAGCCAGCTAATTGTTCAACAAAGACGATGATGGGACTTTACTCATATGCCAAGATCACATTGGGTCCAGGTTGACCCCTCAGATTCTGGGAAATGAGTTCATACTAACCAAAAGCAAACTAACAAGTATCCATGGAGAGAAATGGAGAGTTCAGAAGGAATGAGAGTTCTTGTGCCAACCGGTCATCTCATTCTAGTCTCACCAGGACACTATCTGAGAAACCGAATTAAGGTTGTTAAGTAAACAATGTGAGCAGAGGGAGGCAAGGGGGGGGGCAGAATTTAATATAATCACACCTGGAAAACTTGCTGCTGCCTTCTCTTGAAGACCTCCTCCAAGAGACCAGAGTACGTGGGTGAGTGAGTTAAAGCATCCTGGCATCCCTTTCCCGGCAAGGCCAGGGATGGAACGGTATATCATGCATACCGAAGTTCCCAAAGTATAGTCTGGGGACAGCTGGGGGGTTTCTGAAGTTCTTTCTGGGGTGTCTGTGAGGTCAAAATTTTCTCCATAATAATACTAAGATGTTATTTGCCTTGTTACTTTTCTTCTCTCCCAAGGCTACAGGAGTTTTCCAGAGATTATATGATGTGTGATAATGTCATGATTTTGACAGCTACTAGAAGGTGTGCTTGTGTATTACTGTGTTTAAAACTTTCTCCATTTTAAATTCTAATGCGATAAATATCAGTAGATATAACCCACATAAAAAAAGATCTTTAGGGGGGCGCCTGCGTGGCTCAGTCAATTAAGCGTCCGCCTCTTGATTTTGACTCAGGTCATGATCTCAGGGTCATGAGACTGAGCCCTGCATTGGGCTCCACACGGCGTGGAACTTGCTTTAGAGTCTTAGATTTTGTCTACCTCCCCCTCCTCCGCAAGCTCACTCTCTCTCAAAAAAATCTGAAAACTTAAAAAAATGAAGAAAAAATAAAAGATCTTTAAGGCTCTCAGTCTTTAAGAGTTTAAGAGTATAAAAGTTTCCTAAGATGAAAAAGTTTGGGAACCACTGATACAGACCATCATTTTCAGTCACCACACTAGAACATTGGCAAACACCAGAATGTTATTCTTTCTCATGAAATTTTAGAAATACCTTTGTACTCCAGGTGGGGACTTTTTGAGATTTAGAAAGCATTCTATCTACCTAAGTATGTAATATTCAGTTTATCTCAAAAGCTCCAAATAATTGTGCTTGGGGCCTGTATCTCCCCTTAATTCAGGGGTAGAGGTACCCCAAATCCTTTTACAGGATACATTAAATTGCAAAACAAAAAAGAAGAAAAACATTTTTATTCATGATTTGTCTGTCCTTCGGCAATGATCTAAGGCGGGTTCATAATACCTGTGTGCTCTGAGGGGAAGTACATACTATTTTTGGATTTATTGAACTCTAACTGAACTGAAACCAAGAATCATGACTTACCATAAATACAGGGCAACTGAGCGAGTTTTTCTGGTTTGGGGGTGGGGGATTGTTTTTAAATGTGTGTGTGTGTGTGTGTGTGTTTAAGAACTGAGGTCAATTTAGGTCCCAGGCCATTTGGTAAAGATTCCTGAAGCCCATTCTTTAAATGCAGTCAGCACAGAGGCTGGTTCTGGTTCTCACATGTGGGCCCAGTGTCCATTTAGCCAGGGTCCTGGGATTCCACAAGCCCACTGCATCCTAAAGAATGGAAGAGACCCTTTTTATAGGAGCCCTCCTTAAGCTGGATGTGGAGCATTTGTGCCTATAAATACAATATTTGCAAGCCTAGAGTTTTCCTCTGTCTCCCTCACATTGCTGACACGTGGACCAAGACAGAGCTGAAGGTAGACATTCTCAAACCAAAGTAACCAAAGAACAAAATGCAAGCACGTGATTTAGATATGAGTGAGCAAAGATCAGATGAGTATCCGGTAATACACAGGGCACTAAAACGAGGGGGGGCGAGACAAGGCACGTGTCCTGTCCTGGGGAGTTGTAGTCACTAATCACTTGCCATTTTCCCATTACGTCACAGTCTCCTGTCATCTACCACTTAACTGACAGAGGTAAGGACAGGAGGGTGAGCTCCATTTCTCTCCTGTATTCACAATAGGTTGAACTCACAAGAGACCTCCGGGAGCCATCTCCAGCCCCCTGCCTTGAGGAAAAGCTGGAATAATTTGCAAGAAAACCCAAATCTTAGAAACAGAAGGATGTTGTCCACCACAACACAGTTACAAATTGTAAAAAAAAACCTGACACTCAACATGTTCCACTTTAATCAGTTAACTTTTACAGTCACGGAAATTAAACCACTTGTCTTTAGGAAAAGTGAGTGAGAAGACAGTGGCAGGAGCTAGAATTCGAGCAACTCTCAAGAAAGCAAAAGTGAGTCACCTTTTTGGTGACAGGAGGAAATTAGGCTAATCTGTTAGAAACTGGCTTGGTTAACTTGTTTTCTCTTTGTGAGTCCGGAAGGTGATGAGCTCCGACCATTCATTCATTGCCTTGTTGTCTTGCTCACTGGCTCTTTTCTGGGCAAGGAGGAGAGTCGTGTCTCCTGCGTGGTTGCGTAGGTGTCCGCCAGCAGTCCGTGGAAGACAGCTGTCCTGGGGCCCAGAATGGGCAGTCTGTAGTGGACACTCTCTGCAGGACAGTGCAAGGAGGAGGAAAAACAAGCACTTCTTAGAATATATTTTTAAAGACACTCAAAATATTTAAAGGTCACCAAAGACTTATTTTTGACCTTATAAAGCAGATTCAAAATTCACATAAGAATTCCTTTTAATAGAACCATCTTATCCCGCAGAAGATTTAAGGTCCTAAAAATCTTATCAAAGAGGTCAGAAAAGAGTACCTAGAAACAAAATTCAAGTATTAGGAGTTATTGTCAATTAAATAAAAAGTGAATATAAAATGTATCTGGAGTTATAATGTGCGTTAAAGGGAAAAGAAGATTCAATTCTTAGGATGGGGTAACTGGGTGATGGACGTTAAGGAAGGCATGTGATGTAATGGGCATTGGGTGTTACATAAGACTGATGAATCACAGACCTGTACCTCTGAAACCAATAATACATTATTTGTTAACTAATTGAATTAAAATTTTAAAAAATAAATATTAAAAAAAAGAAGACTTTTCAGGGACACATACACAGTTCTATCTTCAAAAACCAAACGTGATCTTAACAAAAAGTCTACAATAGACTTGCATTTCAAAAGGAACCTTCATTTTATGAAATAATGTAAACTAGGGTTCTTTAAAATCCTCATCCTCCTGACCTCTTCTTAAAATCTGATTTTATTTACAAAAATGTTGGTGAATATTCAGCTTTCCCAGAAGACACATTGCTTGAAGGATAACGTCTTTCTGTTGGAAGTCACTGAATGGAAGGGAACTGGAGTCCCGAATTCTCTGGAAAAGCTCCTCACTCCAGCTGAATGAGAGCTAAGAGATGTTGCAAGACCACAGACCTAGGATCTGGTTTGGTCTTATCACTGTAATGAAGAGGAAACAGAGGTCCAGTGTCACAGGCACTGATGGACTGAGGACCAGAATCCAGATCTCCTTAATCCTAGCCCGGTGATCTTTGAACCATGTCACACCAACGTGCCTGTGGCAGGCCAGAGCAGGTTGTTCACATCTCTCCTGATGCTTATGGACAACCGGAGCCTGTACGTGTCATGGTACTCTGGACTCAACGCCAGAGTCAAGATAAATGGATCCAGAAGAAATCCCCATAACTTCTGGAGATAGGTTCTTTCTGTTTACTTAGTTCTCACTAATAATTACTGATAATATACAAGGGTTATCCGAATCCAGAAACATACTAGAGGTCACTGTGTGATCAAGGAGAGGAGTGAGACAATGACCCGCAGTTACGTTCGCTGGGATGAGTCAGCCATTTGGTCTTTGTAGCGTGTCCACAGGTGGGTGGCAGCTTCAGCAGTTTTTCTGGGTTGATCATAGGTGAAGGCTGCTCGTACTGAGAGTCTGGCTCTCAGGGGCGGGGCAGGAGCAGCACGGGGTGGGGGTTAGGAGAGGGAGGAGGGACAGCAGAAGGTTTTTCTCTGGCTTCAGAGGTGGGAACCCAGAGGACCAGACAGTTTAAACAACTTGGCCAGTCCTGTGCAGCAAGACTCGGATCTGAACCCAGGTCTCCTTGCTTCTAGACTAGTGTTTTTACCTCCTCTCAGAGGGCACCAACGGGAGCAAAGCTCAGCTCAGAAATGTCACAGCTGGCATGGACAGTAGATCTACCCAGCTTCAGCTCCTAGCCAGCTCCTTCAGCACTCTCCCTGAAGTCCTGCCTCTAAGATCACCGCCCTTGGATGGACTCCGTGGGCAAGAGTCACAATATGTCCAAGAACATCATGTGCTGACCTTATGTACACAAAGTCTAGCTCTTATATTGGTGGCTGAACGACACTCTCATGGTTAATAAATCGATGAAAGGCATCTTATCGCATTGCCCGTAGAATCGCAAAATAAACATTCTTGCTGAGGGAAAGGCGTGTGTGTGTGTGTGTGTGTGTGATTGTGTGTTCTACTCCTTTGCAAAGCAGGTCTAAAAAACTCCATGTTCAAGGAAAACTCAGAATGTGTGTGACCAGAAATGAGAACACTGAAACCAAGCGCCCGTGCCTGTCCCCCAATGTTCCCGTGACTTCCAGAGAGTGAGGTGGTCACAGACCAGCAATGATGGTGGGGGAGCTTTTCTTGGATGGATGTTCCTAGCTCTTGGCTCTTTAGTTCAATGTTTCCGGACACCTAACAAGGGAGTGGCTGGGACTGGCAGTCTTTCACTCCACTCTGCTCGTGTGAATATCTCCAAACTGATTACCCAAGCCTGTGGTCCGCGCTTTTAGCCTCCCTTTAAAATATCCCTTCTATTTTCAAATCTCCTCTCTGGATGCCTTCTTGGGCAATTCTGGCTAGCTCCCCTGCAGAAGGAGCTTAGACTTTCCCATTTGTATAAAGCAAATAAGGGATCTCGATTTTCCCTATTGTGCATATCAAATGAGAGAAAAGTTGGAGGTGGCCTCAGTCAATATGGGAGCAAATGAGAAGATGGATAAACTTATTAACATGACAGCCTCTACTGCACTAAACCCTTGAGCTGCCCCCAAAGAATGACCTGCACCCACCTTCACCAGCTCAGTGTTGACGTCTCTTAAGAGATGAGACATAGGTCGATGCTGAAGCCGGAACTGAAGCCGCTATTCTTTTGACTATTAATAGCAAGTGGACCTAAGAACAGCACTGCGCAGCTGCCAGAAGGCAGGTGGTTTAGGAAGCCTGTGGGGTGGAGGTTCAGGGCTTTGGAGAGGCCATTCCAAGGGTGTGGGGATGCGGTTCCTTTCCCAACTAAACTGCCTGAAAGGGAATTACCTACTTTGAGCCTCATTTCCATGAAAACTCTTCAGCAAGTAGATTATGGGGCTCTTTAGAAAGAATGGGGAAGATTCCCTGTGGCCTGGAGAAGACCTGGGAAAGAACAAGGCACCGATGAAGGTCATTGAGGCCTGGGGAGGGGACAGGAGGGGCCGGCCCGAAGCGGGGGCTGGGGAGCAATCAAAACAGGCGTTAAGCAGTATGTGAAAAGAGAAAGAGGCAGACAGAGGGAACCTGTTCGGAAAATTGAGAAACCATCTTAGGGATTAAACTTTTCATCCTACTACTTGGGGGGTAGGATATCCCCCCCGCTACAAGTACTCTAAAAGAACACAAACCTGTTGAGATGTCATTATGGGAATGTTTGGCTACAGTCTGGGCTTTTGGTGGATGAAGATTCATCATTCTGTTTGGAAGAAGCAAGAAAACACATCAGTTATGTGGCTAAGGCTTGGTGGGAAGGAATGTGCCTCTATGCATGTGAAAACGCAGATGCTCTCTTGAAACCAGCACCTGTTAACCTGATGCTCAGACCAGTCGGCTACAGCATAAGATGACGGGGCCAGAGACCACCACATCTCAAGCTCTTTTGCTTTTAAGGATTGTGATAAAAACTTCATTGGAAAAAATATTTTATTCATTGTCAGATCATGTATGGTCTAAAAACAGAAGGAATCAAGAATCCTCCAGTTTCCAGAAAAAAAAAAAAAAAAAAAAGAACAACTCTTCCAGATCACTAATCTACCCTTCAAGTGCAAAACAGAATATTTTGGTGAGAACCTTTTTATTATTTTATTTTTATTTTTTGTCTTAAAATCTCTTCTTTTATTCCCATCAATATTATTCGGTGAGACTGGTTTTTCCACTGCTGAGTGTTATTAAAGCAAGACAGGAACCATTTAGAAATATTTTGTTGTCAATCCAACTTTGATTAAAGAAATTTTTAAAATATTTACTTATGTAAGTAATCTCTACACCCAACATGGAGCTTAAACTCACAGCCCTGAGATCAAAAGTAGCACGCTTTTCCAACTGAGCCAGCCAGGCGCCCCTAAATCAATTTTTATAAAGAATATTTTTATTTAGTTAGTTCGTTTTTATTTTATTTTATTTTTTTTAAGATTTTTTTTTAAATTTATTTGACAGATCACAAGTAGGCAGAGAGGCAGGCAGAGAGAGAGAGAGGAGGAAGCAGGTTCCCTGCTGAGCAGAGAGCCCGATGCAGGACTCGATCCCAGGACTCTGGGATCATGACCTGAGCAGAAGGCAGAGGCTTTTTTAACCACTGAGCCACCCAGGCGCCCCAGTTCGTTTTTATTTTAATCATCCAGTGCTCATCACAAATCTACTCCTTAATCCCATCACTTATTTCACCTTCCAATTTTAGAGAAAATGTCTTGACCACATTTATTTCTCCTGGCGGCAACGGCTGTGGAAATGACCCTTGACCAAAATGATATGAGTCCAAGCCATTTCTACATTAAATTGCTTAAGTTCTAAAGACTGACAAATCTGTAAACTTTGGTGAGATCTGCATTCAGTTCATTGTCTCCATTTCTACAAAGGTTTTCCAATATTATTTTTACTTTGCTACCAAAAATATGGCCTATCTGGCCAGTTTATTTTACTCAGTTGCCATTGGAAGAATCAGTGGGACTAAGGAAAAGAAAAATTCTTTCTATTACCCATGTTGAACAAACAGGAAGGTGTCTAAGACTGAGTAATTTAAGATTTGTTTGCACTATAATTCAATAAACATATATCTCCCCACTCATATTTCCTCTCTCTGCCTCCCCCCTCCCTTCCTTCTTTCCTTCATTCCTTCCATTCAACAAACATAATTTAACTTCTACAATGGTTACAATTAAAGTCACTTTGTAAAAACTCTTATTTCAGTAAGGACAATTCTACCCCCCCATATATATAGTGAGACTCAAAAACCATAAGAACAGATTTTATAAGCTACAAACAGAACCAGGACCCTCCTTTATAGTCACACTAGCTAAATCTCAAACAGAAGTGGTCTGTCTTCCTTCATTACATTGAAAAAAAAAAAAAAAAAAAGGAACCATCTAATGATACTTCAGGTTGGTGTAGACGGGATTTTAGTTTTGGTTCAATCCTTAGTCTAGCTCAAGGAATAAGAGTTACTTGTTTAATAACAGGTAATGATTCTGGAATTTGGGACTTTATTTAAAATACCAGACTTGCAAGATAAATGAACTGGTACAACAAATCTCAAAAGTTTCTATCACAGAGGAGTGACACTTTTGCTCAGAAATCCCAGACTTTAGATAGTTCTGTTTTCTATTTAAAGTCTATACAGAATATTTATTTGAATTACTTTTATTATGATCTGACAGGAGCTTTGGAAAAGTTGCAGGTAAATGTTATCAGTGCTGGAGTGTGTTGGGTTCAAAAACACTACCCATTCCTCTTTGACCCTATCTCTCTGAGCCAGGCGCCCAGCATATCTGAGTCTACACTGCAGATGTAGTGGAGCAAATTTCATGAAAGGAATCATAAATCTACTGCTGTCCAACACAAGGTTACAAAAAGACCTACTGATTTTTCCATATTATTGCTTTCTCTATGAGGAAAAAAAAAAGAGTGTCATTGGATCACATATAACTTTTTTGGTTAATCCCCTCAAATCCGACCCTGTTTGTATGCCTACATTCCAACCATCTACTGTAAGGCAAGTCTACCTATACTGGTGTCTTATCCAGTGAGACACTGGGTGAGTCTAATGAAGTAAAAGCTTCATTAAAGTCCCTTTTCCCTTTCTGATAGCTAAACACACGGTGGGGGGGGGACCTGATATCCAACTAAACAAAATTCTGACTGGATTTTATTTTTTATATACTTGATCTTGATAAGAAAGTAGCAAAGGACAACCAGACAAACTGATGGGCTGAGAACAGCTTATGTGTGATGTTCCGTACCTTCTGAATTACATAAGTCATCTACATCTACATGGAAAATTTGTACTCAGTTCTGCCTGAGTTACCAAAGGAACCTCGTATCCTCTTCTTAGTACTGTTTTTGGGAAGATGGAAAGGCAGATGATACTTTCTACCATAATTTCAATAGTTGTTCAAGCAAAAAGGTGAAAACAACTTTTCTGGTCTAATTCTCTGGTTTAACCAGGAAATGAATTCAGCGGAGAAGCCCATTCCCTAAGTATTCCCTGAACATTCTACTTATGTTTTTCAATCCACTGTCCTGTGTCCCCAAACTGATATAAACAATTAAAATAATGTCCTGATTTAAATGTTAAACTTACCTATGACTCATAAAATTCTCAAAGGATGGTTTCAGATTATGAGGGATTATCACAGTTCTTGGTTGTACCTGAGAAAGAAAGTCTCATTTAGAACATTGCCCAAAACTATTCCAATTTAAATAAATAATGCACCACCTTAACAAACACAAGTTGTATTTAATGTTGGAATCACTCTATATTCTTTTGTGATATGAATGAACCAGAGAGGATCACCTGCCCATAAGTCATAGGGTCTATGTTCTTCCCTAGTTATCAGATTTTGAGGTTAGAAACCTCATGATTGGTAAAGCCTCCAATTCTCTTTGTTTAGCTCACCCCCAACATTCTTCAGGTCTCAGATCACCAGTCAGCCTCTCTCAGACACCACTGACTCCTGGACCACTGTTCAGTGGTCCTGTCTTACCTTCTCACTGTGCCCTAGGCTTCCTCTACCAGCATATTCCTCAGGGTTTTATTGTATTTACTTGCTTGGTGTCTGTTTTCCCTCATAGACTTTCAGCTGCAAGGGAGCAGAGACCATGTCCCTATTTTTATATTTCCAGGTTCTAACACAGTGTCTGTTCAAGAAATATTTGTTGATCAAATTAGTGAATGAATGAACCCACCTTGAAGCACATTTGATTTTAAATGTGCCCTTCCTAGAGGACTATATTAAATCATACAGTTACAGTATTCCTGATTAAGACACTATTTTCTTGAACTTTTCCAGATTTGTTAGTGTCACTAAATATTGGTTTTCTTTTGGAGCTTAGGCTTTCACTAACCTACCCCACCCCCCGGCCATTTCTCAAAAGATCTCGTAGTCATGACAATGAAAAGATAATCACGGGATGCGGTGCAGGTGTTCAACTGGGCTATTCATGGAGGGGCTTGGGATTTAAATGTACGACACAACAAGCCTGCAAGTTACTGTGGGTTAAGGGCCTTCGGAGGTGCTTGAAAATAGAGAAGAACCTGAACATCAGATCTATAGAAATGCCAATCACTTACGTTATTTAATCAGATTGTTGTAACTCATTAGCTGAGGAGAAGCAGCTGGGGGAGGAGGGAATGATCTGGTAACAGGAGCATCTGCGAGACGTGAGGGCAGCAAAGTCTTTGGTGAGAACCTGGGTAGAGGTTTCTAGATATATAAAAGGGACGAGAATGAAGGAGTCACACTGCCTTTTTAAATTTTCTTCTGAGGTTGGCTCTGTTGCCAAGAAAGATGGAGGAAATCCTACCTTCTCCTGATTAGCATGACCCCTTTTCAAAAGCCCCTAAATCCAGCCAGTGCTATTGTAGGCATGAGTGGGCCATCGGGGCCTGCCCCAGAACAAAGCTACCGAAGACAGCATTTTTGTCCCTGACAAGACGTGTGTCGTGTGGGCAACTCCTATTCAGTCTTAAAAACTATGCATCATCTTCTGGGAAAGACTTCCCTGAATCCTACTCTCCATGCTTTTCTCTGATACCTGCTTTCCTACTTTCCATTTCCCATCCTACCAGGTCTCTCTCTCTTCTGTTCATCAGTTTATTATCATTATTTGTTCACCCACTGGCTCCTTAAAGGTAGGGCTTGTGTCTAATTCTTTTGTTTACTTTTTTTCCTTTGTAGCTGAGCTATTACCCAAGTACCTGGCCCGTGGTAGGCAGTCAATAAATACTCGTTGAAATGAACTCAGTTACGTAAATAGACTTCTGAAACCAGTGAACATATGTACGTTAAAGAACGGGTCCCTACAGTATATCCAGTCTGACATCCTACTTTGAAGGGGCTTGAAAGTGTCTATTGGAGAGCAATGCACGTAACAGAAGGACTATGAAATAGATATTTTAAGCGGAAGATGAGCTGTTTGGAGCAGACATGTAGTAAGAGATAATTTACATAAAATTAAGGTGGCTATCCCTGGTGACTCACAGCTATAACTTTCACTAGGTAATTTCTTCTACACTAAACTGAACTCCTGGCCCAGGGTACTCAGACCCAGGAGTATCAGTGGTCAGTCAAGCCAAGTCCTATTAGGATTTTAATTTTTCTGATATTCATCTATTTTATGCTTTTATTTTTTTTCAATATTTATTTATTCGAGCAACAGACAGACAGCAAGAAAGAGCACTAGTTGGGGGGAAGAGAGAGGGAGAATCAGGCTCCCCGCTGAGCAGGAAGGTTCATTCAGGGCTCCATCCCAGGACCCCGGGATCATGACTTGAGCTAAGGCAGATACTTAACTGACTTGAGCCTCCCAGGTGCTCCATCTATGCTTTTATTTAAAAAAAAAAAAATATTTTCCTAGTGCTAATCTTTTTTTTAAATTCAGACACCGTAAGGTTCACTATCTCCGTGTTCAACTCAGTGGATTTTAGTAGCATCACAAAGTTGTGCAACAATCACCACTATCTACTTCCAGAAGATTTTCAACAGCCCAGAAAGAAACTCTGTCCTCATTAGCACTCATTTTCGTTCATTCATTCCCCAAGTTCTTGGCAACCGCTGTCTGTTTTCTGTTTCTACAGATGTGCCTGTTCTGGACACTTCATGTAAATGAAATTGATATAACTCATGGCCTTTACTGTCTGGTTTCTTTTACGAAACAAAATGTTTTCAAGGTTTATCTAGCTTGCAGCATATAGACGGACTTTCTTTTTTCCTGGCTGAATAATATTTCCCTGTATAGATCATATTTTGTTTCTGCATTCATCAGTTGATGGACCTTTGGGGTGTTTTCACTTTTTGGCTATGATGAATAATGTTGCTAAGAACATTCTTGTACAAGCTTGTGTACAGACATATGTTTTGAGTTCTCTTGGGTATAGATCTAGGCTGGAAATGCTGGGTCATATGTTGACTGGATGTCATTCCAACCAGCAATGTATGGGGGTTCCGGTTATCCATATCCCCGCCAACACTTGTATTGTCCACTTTCTATTATGGGTGGTCTCGTGGGTGTAAAATAATATCTCATTACGGTTTCAATTGCATTTCCTTAATTGTTAATGATGTTGAACATCTTTTTGTGTGTTTATTGGCCATTTGTATATCTTTTTTGGAGAAATGTTTATTCAAATATTTTGTCCATCTTGAAATTGGGATGTTTGGTTTTTTATTGTTGTTATAAACTTTTTTTGTTTTTGTTTGTTTGTTTGTTTAAGATTTTATTTATTTATTTGACAGACAGAAATCACAAGTAGGCAGAGAGGCAGGCAGAGACAGGGGGGAAGCAGGCTCCCCGCCGTGCACAGAGCCCAATGCAGGGCTTGATCCCAGGACCCCCGAGATCACAACCTGAGCCAAAGGCAGAGACTTTAACCCACTGAGCCACCCAGGCACCCCTGAGTTATAAACTTTTAAGAAATATATTTTGGATTCTAGTCCTTTTTCAGATACATGATTGGCAAACATTTTCTCCCATTCTGTGGGTAGTCTTTTTGTGTTCCTGATTGTGTTCTTTGCAACAAAAAAGTTTTTAATTTTGATGGAGGCGAATTTAGGTAGTTTTTGTTGTTTGTGCTTTTGGTGTCATATCTAAGAAACCATTCCTTATTCAAGGTCATGAAGATTTACACCCAAGTTTCCTCTAGGAGTTTGATGTTCTAGCTCTCCCAAGTAGGCCTTTGATCTACGTGTAGTTATTTTTTGTATATGGTGTGAGGGAGGGACACAACTTCATTCCTTTGCATGTGGATATACAATTGTCTCCGTACCATTTACTGAAAAGACTATTCTTTCCTCATTAAATTGTTTTGACACCTCGGTCAGCAGTCAACTGTTCAGGACCTCTTATTCTTATGGAGATCCCATATTATGTGATTAAATTTCATTTCTCCTGTTAAAAAAACTTTTTTAATTGTTCACAAGTGTAAGGCGTTTTTTCTGGACTCACAATTTTATTCCACTGATTTATATGTTTGTCTTTGTGCCAGTACCACTAAGTCCTGATTATTGTAGCTTTATAGTAGGTTTTGAAACCAAGAAGGGTGAGTCCTCCAACTTTGCTCTTTGCTTTTGAGATTGTTTAAGCTATACTGTATCTCTTGCATTTCCATATGTATTTAAGATCTGCATATCAGTTTCTTCAAAAATGCCATATGAGATTTTGAGAGGTATTGGACTGAGATCAGTCTGGGAGTACTGTCATTTTAAAAACCTGTAAACATGGTTTTTTTCCATTTATTTAGGTCTTCTTTAATTTCTTTACATGATGTTGTATAGCTTTTGATGTACATGTCTTGCACTTATTTTGTTATTTTTATTCCTAAGTATTTTAATTTTTTCATATTATTGTAAATGGAACTGTTTTCTTAATCTCGTTTTTGGATTGTTCATTGCTGGTATATAGAAACAGAATTGATTTTTGTATGTTGCTCTCATATCCTGTAAGGCTGCCATACTCATTTATTGGCTTTAATTGTCTTTTGTGGGTTTCTTAGGACGTTCTAGGTGTTAAGATTATGCCATCTGCAAATACAGTTTTATGTCTTCCTTTCCAATCTGGTTGTCTTTTATATCTTTTTCTTGTCTTAACTGCCCTAAGCAATGTTAAACAAAAGTAGCAAGATTGGACATCCTGGTCTTGTTTCTGATCTAAGGGGAAAATATCCAGCCTGGAAAATATCCAATATTCATTGAGTACAATGTTAGCTGTGGGTTTTTCATAGATGTGCTTTATCGGGCCGAGGAAGTTCCTTCTATTTTTAGGAGTCTTTTTATATCTTCCCCAGCATCTGCCTTCAGCCCCCTGCTGAGAAAGGAGAGGTCTCAGTGACAGGGCAGATACGCAGTACCCCAGCCCAGGAGGAAGCTGAAGGGCTGTTACACATAGTGAAGCAAGGGTATCTACTTCCCGCTCATTCTCTAACCGTCTCCAGCTTCTCACCAGGGTCTGCATGCACTGGTCTGATGTTAGTGTTTGAGGGCTTTCTTTTTGGGTTCTGCAGTGAATGGTAAAACCACAGTGTGTGGTTCTCCTCCAGTCAGGCGTGGGTGAGGGCAAAGGTCGGAGAAGAGGTCTTGAGAAAGAGAGCAGCTGCTAAAGTCCCAAGCGAGCCAGCTGGCCAAAGCCAGGGTCAGTGCATTCTAAATGTGGACAGAGTGGTTCCGGGAATAAGACCGGGAGAAATCCCAATCCCGGTTTCCCAGATTCCAGTCAATGCTAATAACGAACGCTGTGACCCTAATTACGAAGAACGTGAACAGGGATTGTAACGTTCAGGTGCACCTTTGCTCACAGCTTCAGTTAGATTTCCAAATCCCACAGAAAGATTTCGCAAAACTGCCCATCTCTTTCATATCCTAGTGGTCAAAGCCCTTTCGCCATTAACGTCTCAAAGGAGGCTCTCTTGGGTCTCCTGATTTTCTTCTACTCCTTGCCCTTCCTCTTACTGCATGTCAGCCCAGGGTCAAAGGAGAACCACAGGATTGTAGAGACCCTTCCTCAACTCCGACCCTAACCCTAACTGTTTAAATTTGCCTTCAACCCAAGCCTGACTGACCCTAACCCTAATCCTTCAACAGATCCAAGTCCTAACGTGGACCTGTAGAACATTCCTCCAGACGCAGGCCTCTTTCTGCAGCAACTGTGATGATGACAGAGCTTTGTCCCTGTTTCCTCCATACCCTTGCTAGCCTCCATCCCCCAGGTTCTGCACCACCAGCTACAGCCCCCCCCCCCCCCGCCAAGTTGGAAGGTGCTACAGGACCTCTCCTTAGCTTCTACTCTGAGGCGCTGATTGAATTGATGGACCCAAAGATGAAGCTGCTTGTCTCGTGACTGTAAGGGTCGAGGCAGGTTGCTTGTACGGGTGTGCGTTGTGCTGTGTTGGGGAAATGTTCCGGGGGAGGGTTCCCCAGCCGCCTGAACCCCTAAGGCAGTGGAGTCACTTTAGGATCTCAAAGCAAAGCGGCTCTTCTCAGCTCTACCTCGCTGACCCGCCTACCCTAGTTCATCTTTGGGTTTGTTGAAAATGGAGATGGGTCATCATACTGTGTCAGGTAATGGTGCTCCCGGGACCCACGGGTCCTTATTTGCAGCCTTCCCTGCAGAAAGTGTCGTCTCTCCACTGGGCTCCGGTGGGAGGGGGGCAGTGCTCTACCCTGGGACACCCGCGCTCCTCTCTGCCGTCCCACTGACCTACCATTTTTATCTCTTGACATGTGGAGCACAGGTGCTTGTTTCTGATCAGCACGGGGCTACTCTGGAGCCTCCTGGCCTGAGGGGAGAGAGAAACGGAGGAGTTGAGGAAATGGTGCGGGTCCCTGGGGCAGCAAAGAAGGGGGCAGGGCTGGAGGTGCAAGAGCGGTACCAGTTGTGCCCTCCATAAATCCCAGGGAGTCTCTGGTCTCAGCCCAATGCCAGGTGGAAGTTGAGGCCAGGCTTGGCTGCAGCTGGGAGGGCCAGAAAGAGTTTGGGCCGGAGTGGGGGATCCACAGACCGATCAGTAGCCTCAGGACCCCTTCGTACAGTGGCACGGGTGCAACTGACCCTTCCTCACTCACGCTGACATCAGAGCCGTGGGGTGTGTTCATAGGAAGTGGATAACATGGGGGAGAAGAGGGTCGCGGAACAAACAGTGAGTATGAATTAAAGGCTCCTCCGGCCATTCGACTGTCTGTTGACCTCGGACTACACGTGTGCACACCTGTGGCCTGACCCGGTCCTGCTTCCCCGGGCGGGGGTGGGGAACAGGAAGAGGAGGAATGCGGGTCTGCACCACGGGGAGGGGCTGGGGTGCGCTCCTAGGGCGACCTTCAGCGGACTGGTCTGCCGGTGGCTTCGTTGTCTGAGACAGCCTTCGGGTGAGGCCCCATATCGAAGGCATGAGGACCAAAAACTAGGGATGAAGTTGGATTCTTTGGACAAATGTTGAAAATACCTTTCATTTTTATAGGCCATTTAAAGAGAATCAACCGAGTGTTACAGTGTTGTGGGTTGGGACGTTCAAGGATGAGTGTGAACAGCTCCATCCTTCCACTCAACAATGAGGCCAGCCTGTGGAGGGGGCTGGGCTGGGGCCACAAAGATGAGTAAGACATTTTCTGGCCCTAAGGCAGGCCAGGGAGAAACACCAATTCATTCATTTGCCCGTTCATTGGGTGCCAGGGTCCCTGAAACAAGACAGACGTGGCTTCTGACCTCCAGTGGCTCACACCCACCGCCTGAGGACAAGGAAGCATAACGGTGTGGAAGGTGCCGGGACAGAAATATGGGGAGGCCACAGTGAACCTGGAAAAAGCCACAGAGCTCACCTGGACGGGGTGGGGCGGGCAGAGAGGGAAGGGTCTGAGCAGGGCTCCAGGAGCCGGCCATGCTCGGGTAGGTGTTGGGGCGAACAAGTTGGGGGCAGGGCATTCCACCGCCCAGAAAGCCCTGCCACAGCGTGGGAGGATGACCTAGAAGACCGGCTTCGGGTAACTGAGGCTAGCAGAGAAGGGCCACCGCCCAGTGTGGGGAGTGGGCAGAGAGGCAGAGACTCCTGGGCTTCTGGAAGGTTCCAGCTTCTGCCAGACCTTTCCCGATACCCAGGGTGGAGGGATCTCCCGGGGCGGGAGGGGGGGGGCTCCTCCTTCCAACCCTCACCTCCGTGAGTTCTGACACTAAGGTTCATGTCTGAAACTGTGACCAAGGCGGGCGGGGGGCTAGATATCACAGAAGCAGCAAGGAGACTTCTGGGCCTTCAGGAAAGAGAGACGGCGTCCCACGGAAGGGTCAGGAGAGGCTTCGAGAGGGGGCATTTACATGGAGTCTGAAAGGACGCAGAGGGCACAGACAGGTGGAGGCGGCGGTGGGGGCGTCCGGGCAGGTCCGGTCTTGGTGTCCTCAGCAGGCGCTGGTCTGTCTCGCAGCGGGTCCCTCCCCTTCCGGTTCTCTGGTTTCTGCACAAGAAGAGGAGTTCGTCGCCGATGAAGCCGCGGGTCTCTCCGAGAGGCCTCCCAGGTGCATGGCAGGATCTCGCCAGGTGAATGGTGGCTGCGGATGTGACTCCCGAGCTGCGTGCCCATGATGACCGCCACCACGCGGGGCCTGAAGACGAACGTTTCATGTCGTCCTTGCCAGCCTCGTTAACTCCTCATCGGTTAAAACACGGCTTCGCCGTTACTTTCTCAGTAAGTCTTTCTGCTCGCCCTCTTACCACTCCGCACACCCCTAACCCGATTCGGGCACCTGCCGTTCTGATTCCAGTCACAGACTTATGTCGCGTTTTGTTGCATTTTGTCCTGTTGTTGTTGTTTTTTTTTAATGTGTTTGTTCCTCCACCAGCCTGAGAGTTCTTGAAAAGCAAAGACACACCTCGAACATCCTTGCATCCCTACAGCCCATCAAGAATCTGGCGCACCGTAGCTCTTCGAGCAGAGGGGGAGGGGCAGAGAGAGAGGGAGACGCAGACTCCCCGCTGAGGAGCAGGGAGCCCACTGTGGGGCTCAGTCCCAGGACCCGGTGATCATGACCTGAGCCAAAGGCAGAGGCTTAACCAACTGTGAGCATTTTAAACTATCCCCCATGACACATACTTGTATGTGTGCAGGAAGTCGGTGCAGATGATCTGGGATGCCACGTTTTACAGGCCTCCCCTTCCCCCGACCTCCCCGCACCCGCTGCCTTGCTTTCTTTCCTAGCCCTGGGACCAAAGGGCTTTCCCTTCTGCAGCATGTGCTGCTCACTCTTGGTTTCCCCAAGGCCCCTTCAGCAGCAGCAGCAGGAACGGCAGGAGAAGCGGCTGCTAGTTCAGAGCCTGGGCCCCTGGTTGTATCCTCTGTAGACGCAGCACCACCAAGAAAAGCAGTTCTGAAATGCTAATGGGCTTCTCATTTTCCAAGCAGCTGTCCCCAGGACGGCAGATGGCAGCTGTGATGAGAAAGTGAGAGCAACCTTTTGTAGCCTGGCCAAGGTACCACGCACAGCTCAGCCGGGCCCCAGAAGCCCGAGTCTGCTACTCGCGTGTCGCGACTGGAAACGTCCTAATGTTTGAGGCTAAACTTGCTGAGGTTCATAAGGTCGGCTCATGGCCCAAGTTCTCGGCCTTCTTGAATCTTTGATAAAGAATCAGAGAAACCTATTTCCCTCCTTCTCCCTCCCTCCACCTCTCTCTCTGTCTTGCACACAGACCTCTCCACATAACAAAAACTGAAAATGTGAAAGCACCAGATGGTGATTTTAAAAATAGCCCTCATGGGGCACCTGGATGGCTCAGTGGGTTAAGCCTCTGCCTTCGGCTCAGGTCATGATCTCAGGGTCCTGGGATCGAGCCCTGCATCGGGCTCTCTGCTCAGCAGTGAGCCTGCTTCCTCCTCTCTCTGCCTGCCTCTCTGCCTACTTGTGATCTCTCTCTCTCTCTCTCTGTCAAATAAATAAATAAAATTAAAAAAAAAAAAATAGCCCTCATGCGCGCGCTCAGGAGTGCTGACAAATTTGCCTGCGTCCTCCCTGCCCCTCGACACCTCTGTTCCTTTCCTCCTTTCCACTCCCGCCTTCCATGAGAGACAGCCCGCAGGGCCCCTCTAGTTCAGTTCTTTCAATGAACACAACGAGGAAATTGTGACCCAGAAGGGTTGAGAGATTTGGTCCAACCATACATGTATTTAGTTTCAGTGAGCCAGAAACTTCCTTGGTTAAAGGGCCAGAAGAAGATTACCTTTTATCAGGGAGAAAGTGGATTCTTAGGGTCTGTATGAGGGCATACACCCCTTAGAAAAAAAAGTGATCAGAGAGCTATTTTCAATATTCAAAAAAACCCTCCGATAATTACACATTTTCCTGCGGTCTGAAAATACCAGCCATCTCCATTAAAGAATAAAGTGAATACAGTTTTTTCAAATACTCGTAGGTTGACTCAGAAACATTTCAGACCACACAAAGTATTATCAACAGCCATGCGTATGCTGTTAGGACTTCTTACACGTGGGTTGTATTACCATCAGATCAGTGGTAGTAATTATTACCTCTCTTTTAAAATCCTATCTTTAGGGGGCCTGGGTGGCTCAGTCCGTTAAGCACCTGCCTTCGGCTCAGGTCATGATCCCAGGGTCCTGGGATCGAGCCCTGAGTCAGGCTCCCTGCTCAGTGGGGAACCTGCTTCTCCCTCTCCCTCTGCCTGCTGCTCTGCCTACTTGTGCTCTCTCTCTACCTCTCTAATATTAAAAAAATAATAATAAAATCCTATCTTTAGTTACAGGTGTCTGGTCCACGGACACAGGAAAAGGCCTGAGGAGTACGCAGGGTAGTTTCTGTGGCGGTCACGGGCTCTCCAAAGCTCATTCAGGGAGACAGAAGAAAGAAAAGGAGTTCTAGGTGGTGAGAAAATTGGGAGTTGCCGTCCTGTGCCTTTTCCCAGCCACGTCTCAGCCCTGCAGCTCGGTGGTAGGCAACGCTCTTCGTCACAGGTCTCTGAAAGCGGCCCAAGTAAGGCTCCCCTCTGGACTCTGACTCATTGGGCTGGAACAACAAACCCGGATCAAAGAGAGGAGGGAGGGAGCGGGGGCGGGAGCCGACTCTCGCACAGCGGACCGACCCTGCAAGTAGGCCCAGGGTCTCCACGGCAGCCCCCCGTGTGGGCCCCACCCTCCAAGCTGCCTGGCTGGGGAGCTCCGAGCAAGTCAGCTCTGGGCCTCCCTTCTGCCCTGGTGCCAGTGCCCGGGATTTCAGGGCGTCGGGAGGAGTCCACGCCTGCCCCGGGCAGTGGGAGTGGAGCCTGGGAGTTGTAGCTCCCTCCACAGGGCCCTTGCCTAAATGGGGGAGGGTTGGGGTTCCATGTCTTTGGGTTCATTTTCCTTTTTTCTTCTCTGTCAGCCCTGCCTTTCCTCTTCTGTTTCCTTTTTTGTATTCTGTGCCCCTGCCTACCTCTCTGGGTCTTTCTCAGCTTCTGCTTTTTTTTTTTTTTTTTTTTTTTTTTTTTTTTTTTTCCTCTCCCTGTCTTTCCGTCTCTGTGCCTCTCTGTTTCCTTTCTGTCTCTCTCTCCATCAGTGAACATTGCCCCAGATACACAGATACCCGCTTCCGCCACAGGACGGCTCCTGGGCAGGGCAGGGGGGCCCCTTGGAATGTGAGTGTTCCAAGTTCTGCCCTCTGACCTGTGACTGGGACAAGGAACGGAGCCAGGTGGCATGACCTTCGCACCAGTCCCAGAGGCCAGGCCGTCTGGTGGCTGCCGTGCTGCCAGAGCCCTTTGGCAGGTCCCTGATTTGGAGGTTACAGGAAGAGATAGAGCATCCAGGGTCCACAGGGCTTTCCTCTCCCACCAGAAACAGCACGGTTTCTTTCCAGAAAGGAGCAGCTGCCAGCCAAGCCCGTGTTTCACTCACAGGGTCCGAGGGGAGGCCTTCGTGGTCCCAGGCGGCTCTGTGCAACTCCGGACACGCAGACCCTGTTAGATACTTGCGATCTTCCTTTAGCTGCCAGGGCCGTCTTAGGTACTTTCCCACCTCGGCCTCTCTTTGCTCAGCCCAGCCTCAAACACTCAGGTGTGGCCACTTCTCCGGGTCATTTCCTCAGGAGGGCTCCTGTGCCACGTAAAACTTACACTAAACACAAGGGGGTGCCTTCCTCCATTAACCTTACATCAGTTAACTCTCTGGGGCAGCCAAACACCCTAAGACGGCGAAGGTAAAGTTTTGCCTTCTGCACACCTCCTTGCCCTTCCAATCCGCCAGGGCCACTGTTTTTCTCACACAGGCGCGGAGAGCGGTAGAGGGAGAGAGGCAGGTGGAGGGCCAGGCCCCGACAGGGGAGGACGCGGGCGAGGAGGTCCCCCCCCACCCCCTGCTCTCCCATCCCTCGGGAGTACTGACGCCGGATTCCCAGCCCGTCTCAGCCCCCGGGCCCAGGCTAGGAACGTTGTTGCTCTTGGCTGCTCTCTAGCGGTCACCCGTGAGCATCGCACCATGAAATTCTAAGATCTGCGGAAGAAAGTCCTCCCCCCTCTCCCTGGCCATTGTGCTTTCCCCTCTGGCCCCTTGCCCACTGAGTCGGGGGTCTAGAGTCTTAATGCCTCGCTGCTGCGGCCAGATTCTTTGATGTTTTCAAGCCCTTCCTGCAAGCTCAGGTCGGTGTCTGTGCTCCCCTGGTGCTTACCGCCTCTGTGGAAACACCTGCCGGATCGAATGTGGAAGCCCATTCCTCTGGAACCCTTCCCCGCTGCTCCCTGCCCACCCGTCCTGTCCCTCCCACCCCTCGCAGGGCGGCTGTGCACCTGTGCAGTCTGTGCACCCATTCATGGAGGTGACATCGGACTCACCCCTCTTCCTATCTATGCTACCCACAGGAGGCCTCCCTAAGCAGGCGCACGATGGCCGGCCGATGGGAGGTTCGCAGAGCAGAGCTGTCCCCACGATGGGGCATGCCACCAATGGGCGCTGTGACAAGTGCCTAGCCCTGTGTATTTCTCAGGTGAGAAACCCCTCATCCACCCAGGAGTTCCCTCCCTCCATCTCCTTGCGCTGCTGACCGCACCGGCACCTCTAAGATCAGGACCCCTCGGGGTGCTCCCGTGTGAGGAGTGTCGCCCAAGAGCCAGTCACAGTTGATTTCGGAGAGGTGGAGGGGATAGGAGGACGACAACAGGAAATTCCACAGGTGTGGGATCTTGTACGTGAGAGACATAAGGGATCAGGGCCGTGATGGGACAGGGTCAGAGGCTCCAGGAGCTGGGACCGGCTCCGGACACAGGCTGAACAGCAGTCCCTGAAGTCCTCTGGGCCTGTCTCTCAAGAGGAATGTGTGTGTTTGTTTTCACTTTTTGATGATTGTGACCTTTGCTCTTAGGGCCAGTGCCCTGGAGCTTGGGTGAGCCTGCGATGCTCATTTATTTATCTATTTCGTTCAGCTGTCTATGGAAGAGTGATGAGGTTCCAGGCCCAGGGCTCTGCTAAGGAGATAGGAAACGGCTTTGTATGTACACGCAATGTCATACTAGAACCACTGTGGGTGTCTTTTCAATGAAAAAGCAAAAATTGAGTACCTTAGATAAGACATCTGGAACTTGAAACAAAATAGGCAAATTCATATCCTTCTTGGATGAAATCAGAAAAGTGGCAGAGGCATGAGGATATCTGAAGTAATCAAAATAAAGCAAGTTAGAACCACAACCTCTGGTTTGAAGAGCCAAGCCCTTGGCTGGTTCAGAGACACAGGGGTCAAAACAGACAGCCCCAAGGTGCACCACTCTGGCCTGCAGATTATTTTGAGGTGAAAACCATCAAGGCCCAAAAGACTTGGGAAGAAATGCTGACCTTCCCCTTAACTGCCAGAAGAGTTTAGATAGAGGCCCTGCTCCCGGGAAGGGAGCTATCACCATAGATTATTTACTATTTACTACTAATTTACTATCACCTAGGTAAGGTAGCCCGGGAGGCATTTAGCAAAGTCTGTTGAAATTCATCTCTGGGTCCCACTGTTTCTCGGTGGCCCAGCAAACATTTGTTTACCGAACATTTACTCTCCTTTCTTCCTGTGAATTGTTTTCCTTCCCTTTGACTCCCCAACCCCTTCTCCTTACTTAGTTCAGGATGACATATATAGTCATTTGGTATGACTGTCTTTGGAATCTCACGTGGGTTCCTGTATGTACAAAGTTAAATTTGATCTTCCCTTATTAATGTGTCTCAGGTCGATCTGATTCTCAGACCAGCCAGAAGAAACTTGAAGGTCAGAGGAAAGTTTCTCCTTGCCAACAGATAACCCAGGGGACACCCAGGGAGTTCTCACCCCAGTCCTGAAGGGCACAGACCATTTGGCAGCTTCCAAAGGATGGCTTTGCCCTCGTAAGTCACTCTAGCTTCTCTGTCCTTTTGTTTTGAACTAACCAATGAAGTGTCGGAGACAGTGTACAAAGGCAGGAAAAAGTTATTCGTAAGAGCAGACGTGTAATGGGTGAAATGCAACCAGATCTCCTTGGAAGAGCTGTGTGTGTAGCAGTTGTTCATTTTTAATAAGCGCAGGGTTCTTCCATGCCTGGAGTCTGTGTCCTTGGGCACTGCGTCTACTCATTTCTTCCCATGGAACAGATTCTTCTTCCAACCACCCTGGAACATTCTTTCTTTCTAGTCAGGGGGTGGAGCAGTGACACTGCAGGGATCCTATCAGTTTTCCTCACAGGGTGTGACCGGCCTCGCGGCTGTTGTTTCATTTTATTACAATATCAGAGGCCAAGGCAGGCAGGGGGGCGGGTTGTCCTAAACTGCTTGTGTGTACGACACTGTGCATGCCCCCGGCATTCCAGAAATGGAAACTCGGCATGCCGGGAACACCTCTCTAACGAGGAAAGAGGTCGTTGTTCATTGTTCATTTATAACTCAGGCATGTGGAAGGAGTTTGGTATTCCGGAGGCATTCGCAGTTTCACTTCTGCTCACCATTTCCCGGGGCCCTGGTGGAACAGGGGTGGTGGGTCTGACCCGGCCCCTTCACTGTTTTTGACCTGGAACAGCCTGCCTTGGACTGGACATCCAAATGCTGACCTAGGGAGACCAGAGGCCACTCTCGAGCTGCCTGAGCACTCAGTGATCTCCGATCAACAGGGCCTCAGTGTGACCTGGGGGCTTCCGAGCCCGAGGATGAGTGTGGCTTCTGGGTGGCAAGACCGTCTTCTCTGAAGGAAGGAGGTCTGTGGAGGCCCCGGTGTTCTGAGCCGGGCCTCAGTCCTCCAGCCTGTACGTGTGTTTCTGGGGGGCTCTGAGTACATTTCACTGAAAGTGTCTTTCTCTTTTTCAGACTGTTCTGCATTAAAACTGCTTGTCCGAAACTAGGAAATGCTAAAAGCACATTTATCACTATCTTACTGAGGCCTGAGGAAAAGGTTTTGCCAAAAACAAACAGCCTGGAACCCAGAGCTTTAACTGGATGAAGAGTTTCTAATCTTTAAGGATTGTTGATATTTAAACAAACCATCCTTTCAAAGGACTTTGCACTCCGGTGTTGTCTCCCTGAAAGCTCCAGGCACCATCCCGGGAGTCTGTCCCGGCCAGTGTCTATGAGGTAGACAAGTGTGTTTCTCTTCACGTGGGCTGACATCTCCGCCCAAGGTCCGTTCAGAAATGAGCAGAGCTTCACTGACCCTGAGGTAATTTCTCCTTAGGACCAGCTCAAGGTTAGCTGGCCAGAGGGAAAACTACCCCTTCCCTTCAGACTGTCCATAGTCTGTCCCTTCTGATATTCCAGGACCTGGCCGTGTTCTCGGGCTGCCCCGCAGTGTTCTGGGGCTGCCTTCTTCAGTCCTGTTCCCTGTCCTGGTCCCCCTCTCTATGCCCGACCCCAAAACTGTACAATCCGGGCACAGGAGAGCTGTGCCCGGTGGTGCCTTCCTCCTGGCTGCCGAAGCAGATCTGATGGGAACAGGGCTGAGCTGGGATAGTGAGCTCTTACCCTAGTTAGACAGAAACCACCGGCCATTTCACATTAGCTAGAGTTTGAAGTTATTATTAGCTAGATACAAAGTTAAGTAAAAGTAGCAGGAAAGAGCAGGAAGCACTTGAGAGGGCTCTGAAAATGCACACAGCGGCCTGGCTGCTTACAGAGAACGTGGCTTTTAAAAGGAGCAGCCCATTCGCATCCATGCAGTCGAGGAGGGGATGTGGGGAGAGTGTCCCTCACGGGGACTCGCTCACCTGTGGGCAGGAGGGCACGTGTCTCCTTAGTCCCTTCTGGTTTCTCCCATTTGCCCCCGCATTACCTCACATTCCCCTTCCTTCCACTTCCCCTCCCCAGAGCAGCGAGTATGACCACAGCCAGGGACCGAACGTGGAGGAAGAGTGAGGAAGCCGGGTTATTGCTAGTGTCGGCGCTAAAATGTTGCGAACACACCAACACCGCCAGTTTTGAAACAGAGCATCATGTCCCATAGCTGTTTGGAAGTGGAAGGACTGGTGAGATGGGAGGAGACTGCCTCAAAGGGATGTTGGGGCAGAGGCTACTCTCTCGACTTTGGTGGTTAAAATTAGAGGAGACAAAGTAAGATGCGGAGGACAGCAGAGGCGTCGGACAGGCAGCATCCAGGGGCAAATGTCTGTGTTGTTGAGCGATGGCCGCAGAGAGGAAGGTTGGCGGAGATCGCATCCCCCCGCCAAGCCTATACTGAGTGTCCACTCTTGTCTGAGAAACCCAGGCCACTTCCGGTTTTTGAACCCTCTTCTTGGGTTTCTCAACGGACCGGATCTGCCCCTTGATAACCGACCCCCAGGAATCATCTTCCCGGAGGTCTTTCTTGCAACCTTTGCGCTCAGGGGCTGAGCTGTTACCTTTTGGGGAGGCTGAGCACTAACGGCTTGTTCACGAGGCTGGCCTCACTAAGCCAAGGAATCTTGCCAAATTTGGGAACAGAAACCTGGAGAGAAATGGAAAGAGATCGTTTTGCAGACCGGACTGCATCTGAGCCCGGCCATCGCAGCGAGGGCCCGAGGAGGCTCACGCAAGCTACAGGGCAGCCGGCGCGCTACGGCCCGTTGCTGTGATCTGAGCCCTCCGAGCCCCGTCGAGTATCCCGGAGCGAACCGCGCTCCCCGCACGCAGCGGACGGGCAGACGGAGCCCGGCGCGGTGACCTGCCGAGTCGCGCCGCGAGCTCGCGGACCAGCTTCGCTGACCTCGGCGCGCGCCGCGTCTCGGCTCCCCGCGTCCGTCGCGTTGCGGCTTCATCCCTCCCGCCCGCTCGGGCCCCCGTGAAGTCGGCTGAGCGCGAGCAACCGCCCGGCGGCCTCGGGCTTTCCTGCCGCAGCCCCGCCACCCCTTCTAGGCAGCGGAGGGCAGAGGACCGCGCCCTGCAGCCCGGGCAGTGGGCGCCCGTCTCGGATACTGCGCTTTCCGGCGGGGGCTCTGGCCACTCGCAGCCGCGCTCCGGGAGACGTCACCGCCCCGCGGCCGGCGCTCCAGGGCAGCCGGGACTTCCGTCTCTTCCGGTCCCTGCGGAGTCGGGAGCCCCCAGCGGCGTCTGCGGGCACTCCCGGGGGATGCGCGCGGGGCGTTCGCGGACGCCCGGGAGTCCCCAGCTGAGCGCCTGACGGGTCGCGGGAGCGCAGGAGAGCAGGTTTTACGATCTGTCCTGGTCAGCGCGGCCCCCGGCCCAAGCCACAGCCCGCCCTTCTGTCGGGCGCGCGCTTTTTCCTCGGCTCTGAAGGGGCGTCCGCCCCGGGGGAGCCGCGAGGTCTCCGAGCCGCCGGGAGGGGGCAGCAGCGAGCTCGCAGCTCCGCCGGCCGCGCGGGGGCGCTCTCGCCGCGGAGGTGGTGGCGGACCCGGAACTGCTCGGCCGCCGCCGCGACCTCGGCGCCCCGGATGGGGAAGGAGGCGGCAACTGCCCTCCGCGAGCCGCGCAGCCCCGGCAAGTGCGGGCGGGTGGGTCCGGGGCGGGAGCCGGTGTTTCCGGGCCGCTCTGTCCTCCGCCGGCCCCCGCGGGCCCCAGGCTGGTGAGTGAGGGGGCGGCGGCGGGCGGGGCACGCTCGGGAGCGTGCGTGGGGCGCCCCGGGACCCCGGCCGGACCCCGCGGCGCGGACTTGGCGCTTTTCGGCTGCGCGGCCCGGGCGGCGGCCGGGGGGTCCCGGGGCTGGGGTCCGTGCTGCAGCGAGGGTCTCCCGGTGCAGTAACACCTGTCGCGGTCTCCGTGGAGACATGGGGTCGGGCCGGAGGAGTCTCCTTCGCGGACGCGCTGGCCGACCCCGGTGTTTCTGACCCCGGGGTTTTCACTGCGCAGGAGGGGCCGTTGTGTTCGCGCCCGAGAGTCCTTTGCAGCAGAGTGTGACTCGGAAGGCCGGCAAGTCCGGTCCCTGGGTAAAGAGTCTGGTGTTTCCGAGTCCCTCGGCCAGTAAGCCTGAGCCCGGGCCCTTTGTGTTGTGCGGTTTACTGTTGTCTTCAGGCTGCCGCCTTTCCTCTTTTTTAAGTAGTAATCGATGCCTTTGAGAGCTCAGTAAATAGAAGCTCCGGATCCTGTCCCTAGGAATTTGCATTAATTGCAGCTGAAGGACACAGTGACAGGGAGGGTTTGGGGTGCTCTGAAGCCCCCCGCAGGCCTCGGGGGTATGTGAACCCTGAGGTAACTGGTTTAGAGGCAGACGTGTTGGGAGGCCGAGGCTTTGGGGTCCGACTTGGGTTTGAATTTGGCTCCGTTGTTCACCACTGTTGATTGGGTCTGAGGTTACCTGAGCAGTTTGAACCTCAGGTGTGTGCGTTTTTACTCAGAAGGAGGCATTTTGCTAATTACAGGGGGAGCTAATGCTAACCTGAGAGGTGGGGATTGAGTGGAGGGAGCCCAGAAGGTGCTCGGTAAGTTAGAGCTAACAGACCGCTGTCGTGTGCTTGGGGTTATAAGTTCGAGTCTCAGACAAAATGTCATTGTCCATAATGAAGTGGCCACCGCATGTGTTTTGCTCCAACTTTTAATATACCGAGGTGGTTGATTTTAACTCCATCCTTCCCTTGACCTTTCACAGCTTTCATAGGTTCACAGTCCTCCTTTTTCTAGGAACTTGGTTCAGAGAACGAGCTCATCTACTGGAGGCCTGGCCTGGGTTGCTGCCTTTGAAACTCGGAACAACATCAGCCACAGCACGGCATGGAATTTCCAGAAAAGTCTTATTTCGAAACTTCGTAGAGAACAAGAGCCACCTGGACTCGTGTGAGAGAGGTTGCACCGGCCTCTGTCTGAGGGAGAGGATCATGTGCGCCCAGCCTGTAACGAACGCGAAGGAGGCCAAGTGGCAGAAGGTCCTGTATGAGCGCCAGCCCTTTCCTGATAACTACGTGGACCGGCGTTTCCTGGAGGAGCTCCGGAAGAACATCTACGCCCGGAAATACCAGTACTGGGCTGTGGTATTCGAGTCCAGCGTGGTGGTCCAGCAGCTGTGTAGTGTCTGCGTTTTCGTCGTTATCTGGTGGTATTTGGATGAGGGTCTTCTGGCTCCCCAGTGGCTTTTTGGGACTGGGCTGGCTTCTTCACTGATTGGCTACGTTTTGTTCGATCTCCTCGACGGAGGTGAAGGACGGAAGAAGAGCGGGAGGACGCGGTGGGCTGACCTGAAGAGCGCCCTCGTTTTCGTTACTTTCACATACGGTTTCTCGCCAGTGCTGAAGACCCTGACGGAGTCCGTCAGCACCGACACCATCTATGCCATGTCGGTCTTTATGCTCTTAGGCCACCTCATTTTCTTCGACTATGGTGCCAATGCCGCCATCGTATCCAGCACGCTGTCCTTGAACATGGCCATCTTCGCTTCCGTCTGCCTCGCGTCACGCCTGCCGCGGTCCCTGCATGCCTTCATCATGGTGACGTTTGCCATCCAGATCTTTGCCCTGTGGCCCATGTTACAGAAGAAACTGAAGGCGTGTACTCCCCGCAGCTACGTGGGAGTGACGCTGCTTTTTGCGTTTTCAGCCTTGGGAGGCCTCCTGTCCATCAGTGCTGTGGGAGCCATCCTCTTCGCCCTTTTGCTGGTTTCCATCTCTTGTCTCTGCCCTTTCTACCTCATTCGCCTGCAGCTTTTCAAAGAGAACATTCATGGGCCTTGGGATGAGGCTGAAATCAAAGAAGACTTGTCCCGGTTTCTCAGCTAAGTTAGAGACTCCCATTCTGTTAGGAGGGCAGGCTGCTAGACTGGCCTCCCAACTAGTGTAGGATTTGAAGGCAGAGTCCCATTCTGGAAGCAATGTACTGATGCGGGTCGGGGAGCGGAGATCAAAAGAAAAACGTGTAACCAAAGGCGTGGGTGGTGAAGGTGCTTGTCCTTTCTGTTATTTTGTGGATGAAGAAGCTTCCTGGGGCCCTCTTGAATTCTTGCCTCTCACTAACTGTAACAAATGAAGTCATGTGGTTTCTATTTATTAAAAAAAAAATAACACACCCATTAAGTTGTCTCACGATTTTTCTCTCAGCTGGAGGCTGACGGAAGGGGCGTGGAGAGTGAAGAGAAAACGAAAATATGTGGGTTTATGTGGAAAGGCACTTCTACCTTTATTTATGTAGAACTCAAATGTGAGAATCCTGGATGCTGTGCTCTGTTACTGGCTAAGATTACAGAATTGTCACTTCACCCTGACTCCGGGCTTCTCCTCAGCCCTCAGGGAGGTGTGGACAGGCTAACTGCAAGGGAGAGTGTGAGGTGTCACGTAATCATAATCACGTAATACATAATCAGATTACGTCACGATACATAATCAGAATGCCGGGCATTCAGAGAGGCGGACGCAGTTGGGAACTCTTTACTAGAGGAGGTGGCCTTTGAGCTTGGTCTTGGAGGTGAGACTGGGATTGAGGTAAAAGGTGGTTTTAGAGCAAGGTGGCAAAGGCCTTTAGGAACCGGGTAAGTAATATGAACAAGAGAAGCCAGTAGGCTTCGTGCGGCGAATGGCAGCTGAGCCCAGGACGGAGCGTGCCCTGGCCAGCGAGGGGAGCCACCGCTCCAGCTGAGGGTTTCTGGCCAGAATGTAGGCCTGGCTGCAGATCCGTAGAATTCTGAGTAAACTCCGAAATGAAATCTCAGTAGCTGCAAATGGGATTTTTCTTGTGGAATCTGACTTGTAAATTCTGTTAAATTTAAATCCTGACAGAAACTACGCTCGGATGCAGCCTCTGGCCACCGTTGTGCCACATCTGTTCTTCGGGCCGCACAAAGGTAGGATAGTATTTCACGGGGGCTTAGGGTTATGGGGACTGGAGGAAAAGTTGGAACGAGAGGTTCGATTGACAAGAATTTGGGGTTCCTACTGCATGTCATTGGGAGCAATCCAGCTTATGTAGGAGGGAGGAGATGATTAGATCATGGGCTAATTATGCAACTGCTCTGTGTCTTGTTTTTTACCTGTAAAGTGGGAATGGAAGTATTACCTCTAGAACTGTGGTAATTGAGATCTAGGCAGACTGCTCCAGGAACACTACAATCACGTCACACCGCAATCACGTCACACTACAGTCCCGTCACACTGCAGTCACGTCACACTACAGTCCCGTCAGCGGTTCCTGTTACCAAGTTGACCTGTAGGAGGACTTGAATAGGATAAAGTACAAAAAGCATGAGGCACCTCCCAGAGCAGCTGGTATCTCCTGAAATAAGTCACTGGGGGCAGGTCCCTGAGCCATCTCACTAGAGATTAGCTTCAAGTCAGAAATTTCATCCAAGTCATCATCTTCCAAAAGAGTTCTGCTTTCTTCTTCTCTGAACATAGATTTCTCAGAGTCTTGTCCTCAGCAGTGTTGTGAACTAGTGTCTTCAGTTCTCTCACCTCACATCACTCTTTTTCCGATTTGAACTTGGACTGATGAGTATAGTGTTTCATCAGGATGGGTCGTTTTCCCTAAGGCATGTTAGATTTTTTTCGCAGTCCCAAGGCACTGGCTCATGGGGAGAGACGGATCTTGGAAAGTGACTTGAGCTCGGGGCATCCATCTACTGCCTGTATTGGGTGTGGCCTTTTCATGCCTTGAGAGGGCCCAGAACTGGCTCCTAGTTACAGTGTGGCTCACATTAGGAACAGGGCAGGGTGTTAATGGTTGACGGTAGTAAAGAATTGTATAAAATTGTGCTTTATTTCTTTATATCCTAGTACATCTGCCTTAGTTGAATGCGTTTCTGATGATCAACCTCATGGAACTCACGTAGCAGCCACATCCATGTTGATGAGCAGAAAGTTTTCCAAATTTGAACCAAAGTTTG